GTGTTGCCTTTTGAGTAGAACTCTGCTAAATTTGGTAGAATATTTTCGGAAATTTTAATTTTGGTAGAATGATAGATTCGTTTTCCACTTGATAAATTTTGCGAGACGATTTTTTGTGCTTCATTTATTTCAAAGCAAAGACAAGTATAATTCGAATGAGGCTAATATATTTTAAATAAATATTTATGCAAAAAGATTTAATTTGTCAAACTAATAATTTACGTATAAAAGTTCATTATAACTATTGAGACCATCATTGGATGGGATTCAGATGAAAAGAGCGCTTAAAAAATTTGTATTGAAAAAAGGTTCATGAAATTTCTAAGGCAAGTCATACTTAACTTTATTATAATTTCGGCCAGAAATTTTTTCCCGAAGGGTATACATTTAAAGGATTTACTTACGGGAGCATCTTATTATGCTAAGAGAGCTTTTAGGATAATTTAGAATAGGGCCCGAATTTTTCGAAAGAATGTGATTAAATTTCCATTGCGATTGACCGAACTTTTCCTACAAATTGAAATAAAATTTAAAACCAAGGTGATTTTTCTTTGAAAATCCGCTCTGTTTAAAATGTTTAGAGTGACCTTGAACTTTTGGTAGACATTTGTTAGTTTTTGTTTGGGCACTTTGGTAGAAAACATATTTTTGATGTTGCAACACTGGGTGTGAGTTATCGCCGGACCCCTGAGTGGTTTGTTCTATTCCGTTGCCGAAATTTTGATATCAAATATGCAGATCGCTTTGATCGGCTCAGTGCGTGGCCACTTTAATAGTATTTTATATGTTTTAATTTTAAGACAGCCGCTCATTGCGTGGCCTCGGCCTTAGTGAAACGTTACAAAATCGAACTATTTTTAAAGTGAATCATTACGATCGATTAAAACTGGATTGCATGCGAGAATAAACTACGCAAGTGATTATGGTCAAAGACCGAGGACCCACCTCCACAAACGAATTCAGAGCCTGGATTGATGGCAAACAAGGCTTTGTTAAGTGTTTGGTGGGATTGGACGGGAATTGTCCATTATGAACTGCTACAAAGTGGCGAAACGATCAATTCGGTTTGCTGATGTGAAGTTGTGTTCCATCATGACAATACCAGGAAACTCACATATTTGACGACTCGGTACAAATAGACGCGAATTGGTAGCGAAATTTGAATACATCCGTCGTATAGCCCGGATCCTACAACGTCTGACTTCCATTTGTTTCGGTCTCAGAAAACTCTCTTGTTGGTAACATCGATGGAACTATGATGGTAAACGAAAAATTGCAAAAGATCGTAAATTGGTTTTCAATAAAGATTTTTTAAAAATACCCAAAAATTCGAGTAGACTTTTCATATGACCCAATACTTTCAATAGTGGTATTCTGTTGTCAACTGTCGTTCCTTGAGCTCATCTGCTGTTTTGCCAGAGTGCCAGGCCACTTGCTCAATTTGGTGAATACCACTAATATGTTTTTAATTTACAGAGCCTTCATTCTTATACGAGTAAAACACACTGAAACTCCTGGAGAGCTTTTGAGATTTTTTTAGCTGAGTATGATCGTCGGCAGAAGAGAGAAATTTCTGAAGGCCAGTTACGCACATGAGACTGGTCACGAAACTCAATTAATTGACTCACTTTGTTGTTTAATTTGAACAATTTTTAGAATGGATTTGTTCTTGGTATAGACATTTGGTTGGCCTATGTGTATGTTTTGTCAGCATTAAAAAAGTGAGGAGAATTTAGCTGCAGGAGAAGTGCCTCTTTTCAGATGCATGATGACATTCAGAAATATAAATACAATAGTGATATAAAAAATTGGTATCATTGTAAAGGCGATTAAACCTTATGTCTTCTGATATGCATATTTGTATACGCCGTGAAAAAAATGTGAGAAAAAATCACTTTAAAGGAAAAAGTAAATTTTTTTACCAAAAAATATTTTAAACAAAAAAATGGCATTTTTGTTAAGGCGTTTAAGCCTCCTTTCGTCTAATATGCATATTTGTATACTTCGTATATAAAAATTGGAGAAAAAAACACTTAAAAGGAAAAATACCAGTTTTTCAAATAAAAAAAATGGTACAAAAAGATTACTAAATAGTAATACAATTGAATACCGTATTTAAATAAAACAAATAATTTATTGTGTCTTAAGCGTTAATTCGCTCTTGTTTGCCCACAGCCCTGTTAAAAATAAAGCAAAATTATATGTAACAGAAGTCTAAGGCATATAAATATATAAAAACACCATGGTTTTTGATTTTTTACATAACAGGTTATATATAAAAATTAAAGATAATTTTCTGTTTCATTTAAATAAAGTATTCAATTGTATTACTCATTAGTAATTTTTTTTCTTTAAAATATTTTTTTATAGGAAAAAATTGGTATTTTTACCTTTAAGTGTTTTTCTCAAATTTTTATATACAAATTATACAAATATGCATATCAAAAGAAAGGGTGTTTAACAGCCTTTACAACGGTACTAATTGTTTAAAAATCGGTCGGAAATTTTTTTGTTTAAAATATTTTTTTTTATAAAAGAAGTTATTTTTTTTAAATGTTATTTTAATCGCCTTTACAATGATATCAATTTCTTAAAAATTGGTTAGTATTTTTTTGTTTAAAATATATATTCTTTTAAAAAGGCATTTTCTCATTTAAATGTGTTTTTTATTTTATTTTTATATACAAAGTATACAAATATGCATATCAGAAGAAAGGGGGTTTATTTGTCTTTACAACGATAACAACCTTCAAAATCGGTTTGTAATTTTTTTGTTTAAAATATTTTTGTATAAAAAAGGTATTTTGTCTTTAAATGTGTTTTTTCTCAAATTTCTTAAACACCAATTATACAAATATGCATATCAGAAGAAAGGGAATTAAATCGTCTTTACAACGATCTTAATTCTTTAAACATCGGTTAGTATTTTTTTTGTTTAAAATATATTTATTTATAAAAAAGGTGTTTTTTTACTTAAATGTGTTTTTTCTAAAATTTTTATTTGCGAGGTATACAAGTATGCATATCGATATAAATTTTTTAGAAATCAGTTCAAAATTGTTTGAAATATAATTTAATTTTTCGAAGACTTCAACTTTGACCTCTTATAGCACCTGTAATAAAGTTCGCACAAAAAAGTTATATACAATTTAAATAAGAGCAAAAGGAGGACTACGTCTATATTTTAAGGTTTTTAGTTATTTATACTTATGCAATAATTAAATATAATTTTTTACCAAAGGTCCTATTTCGAACTACGAAGGACCATATCTCGATTTTGGAGGCTAACTTCGAAAAACGGAGAAATCGCTTTTTAAACTATGACTCAATTTCTTAAAAAAAAAATTGGTTTGGTCCAATACCCAGAAAAAAAGTTGATTCTGCCGTACAGTGTTTTTATAATACCCCCCGAAAAAATTACACAGGTCCACAAAAAAAATCGATGATTGTCGATGAGGTTGATTTGACCAAACCTAGTCTGTTATATGTTTTTGGGGTCGCTGAATACGAATCTCCATTTTGCTCCATCACGTCTGTATTTTTTGTCTAACCTCAGAAAACATCTCGGAGTTTTTTGAGGTTAGGATCTCTGTTGAAACTTAGTTGAATTATGTCTACAGATTTTTCTCTGCATAAATAACAGCATGATAATTGCAAATTTTAAAAATATCAGCATAATATTTAGTAATGGTAAATGATTCCTATCGAAGTCGCTCCTCAACGGAACATAAGAAGGTTTGTATTTAAATTTTTTGCTTCACAGAAAATTCAACGATATTTTTAGCTTAGAAAGAACGCCATGCCCATAATTTTAAACTTTAGTTTTACGAATTCCGGCTCGTTCCCTTCTAAGAATAATCCCAATTTTAGCATTTATATACTCAACTACAATAAATTTTCAGACAATGCTTTATAACGCTATGGGATTCTAAGAACATACTAAATATGTAGTAACTCGCGTTCTTCAAATTATTGCAACATACTTTGGACGAAACGAAATCAAACCATGCGTAACAGCTTAAAAAAAAAATAAAAATAAAAATAAGAACATAGCTAAGTACCGAAGTAACTAAAACAAAGTATTAACTACTAAATACGCATGCAAATAAGTAAGTAAATGTGTGGGTAAGTAAGCTGTGCTGAAGTCAATGATGGTGGCCCAGGCGTAACGCATCCGCGCCGCCGGTAGACGCATACAAATCGTCGCCCAGTCGCCGTCAAAGTTGTTTAATCGCCAAAGGCCGCATCGGAACGGTTGAGGAAGAAGAAACAGAAGTAGAAGCTAAAGATTCGCGGACTCCAACGACGTTGATCAACAAAGCATGACGAAGAAAAGGGTGATGCGAGTAAAGCGTTTAGGCGGCGTATGTCTGTGTGTGTTGTCTGCTTATGTCTGAACGTCTGTCTACTTAACACTTAACGCGTCGCAAAAAGAAATACTTAAAAAACAAAAAAAAAACAACAATAATCGACTTTGCTCATTAACAAAGGCAAGAGCAAAAACAGCAGCTACGACAAGTATAACAAAAAAAAAAGAAGACCTCAAAAACGCCAACACACAGTCATAAGAATAAAAGACATCAGCATACATACATATATAGTAGCTGGTAGTAGGTAGAGAGGTGATCATACCGAGTGCCGCCGAAGCAGAGTTGGGCGCAATAAAACAAAATTGGCGGTGACTTAATTATTATTATCTCTTTCTTACCTAGCTTTGCAACTTGGCTAGCAAGAGCTGAACGCTTCTTGCGAATTCTCTGAAACTTGGCAGGACCGGTTTTGGAATTTTGCCACTAAGAAAACCTTGCTGAGCATAACATCAGCTGTTGCAACGTAAGCGTGCACTATGAGCAGAGTAGCTAAGTACTTTAGATAAGTAACTTTACACTGAGCGCTGCTTTTTGTCTCAACTCATTTCCTTCTCATTGACTCTTTGGCATTGGCCACTAACTTGTTTGCTTGCTTACTTGCTAGCAACTCAACCAGCTAGTCAGCAGCCAAGTGTCTCACAGCCACTGCTATTTCGACAGTCTTAGCCTGGTCGATGTGACGACTACAACACAAACGCTTTGAGGTACGGTACGCGTGCGCACGTTGTCGTCGGACGGTTAAAAAGTTTTAGTACTTCGGTTTTATTGGTTTGCTAACAGAGTGTGTGCTGTGCGCGTATGTACATATGTAGTAGTGTATACGTGTGCTCGAATGTGGCTCCAAGTCGGAGACGGTGTACGGAACGAGTATATACAGCGTTGCAAAGGAAGTCGCATAGACAACGCAACGAAACAGAGAAGTGATAATTTTAATTTAAAAAAGATAATCAATAGAAATATATTTAGTCAAGAAAATTGAATAGAATACATATTGTATTAAACAAAGCGTGATACGAGGTAAATTATTGCAAAGGTATGTGACCATGCATGGAATGTGTATTCTAAATCAATAAAGTTTTCAATGGACGAGTATTGTACTGTGCATGTAGAGTTGATGGTAAAGTGAAGTGCGCGATAGCTCATACATACATATGTATGTATATACATTTCCCTTTGGAAAATAAGTTTTTTGTAAACGTCACGCACCGCACGACAGGAAGTCTCACAAATGCGTGCAAAGACTTACTGAAGTTGAAAAATCATTGCTATTGGCATTATTATTTATATTTATGAATGTGTGTGTAAGTGCATATACGCTTGTTGTTCTGGTTGTTGCTGCTGCTTGAATTGCTGTTGTTGTTTGCTTTGTTGTTAGCCTTGTACGCTGACATGCTATGAATGTTAGTGCAAACGGGTGGTTTCAAGCGATTTCATGGTGAATTTCTTTATGATAAACACATTGCGCTTGCGGTTTAGCCTAAATCTTCTGGCAAGACTTGACTTTGTTTATATAGTTTTTTTTTTTCTATAAAATGTAGTTTTTGATATTCCCTCAATAGCAAATAGTTGATGATGTCAGCCAGCTGTGTGTGTGTGTGTGTAAGGAAACATATGTTAATATGTAGCTGCAAAGTAATTAATTTAGCAGAAATTCGCCCTGCCGAACGAAAGACTTAAGCAACGAACCTGCGACACAACTACTTCATTAAAGGTGCTACGCAAATTCAAAATCACTTCTCTTTAAACACGTATGTGTATGCGTGCGCTTTGTTAGCTTATTTCGTTGCCTGGTATCTTTCATTTGGCACCGCACAACTATTTATTTATGAAATGCACGCCATTGCGGCCACCTCAGGCTGTCCGTGTAAATACATATACAAACAAAATTAATGTGGATGAAGAAGTTGGTGTATTTGATTTCATAACATTTACGCTTACTTCTCACCTCATAATATGTATGTACATACATCGCGCTCTTGACCAAATCCATAGCTATAGCAATAGTAACCAGCTATAATAAAAGCCAAAAAATATAGTGCCAAAAGCAGCGTTAATATGAAACAAACAAAAAAAAAAAACAAAAGACCTGAAAAGATCGCAGCAGTTGTACAATCACGAACCCCAACTTAAGTGACGGCTCAACCTCAATACGGCTTTGAAAAATTATGCAAAAGAAACAAAAACGCAAAGTTAATAAATAAAAGCACCCACGAAAGCAAATTGTGAAGAAGTAGAAAAAATTTGTAACAAAATGAAAAAAGTGGTCAACGAAAAGCGAAAAAACTAGATTGAATAGTGGTTTTGAAAAAATTTTTTTCTATGATATTTTAAGGGTATAAGCAACCAATTTTTTAAAATGATAAAATTGCACAATTGCAATTTTTAAACATTAATAAACGTCAGTTAAGGCACAAATATGTTATGGTTCAACAACAACAGTCAAAATAAAATAAGCAACTCGAAACAAAAAATCCATACCCTACTACTTCAACTACTTTTATATATGGTTCAAACAGCCAGCTAAATTGAGTAATTAAGCATTAAGGTGCTAATATCACTTTATTACGAAAAAATTATTTCACACCTTTGCTGTCAAATTAAAAAGCGCCGACTTTGATTCCAGTACTTTAAAAGTGCAAAGGCATTTTCTAGGCTTCATTTAAATTAAAAGCGAAAATTCGAAACCAAAGTTTTATATTGTTTTTTTTATAAAAGTATAGCTCACTATCTAAAAAGGCAGTCCAACTAAGTTTGAAACTTATTACAAGATTTACAAAAATTTGAATTTATAATTTTTTTTTAATCAAAATTTCAAACTTTTTATTCTTTAAAATGCAAGTTTTTAGAGTTTTTTTAAAGAAAATTTCAAGAATTGTCAAACATACTCGATAGCGAAAAAAATTGCCTAAGAGTAACTGTAAGTCCTAGCTACTTCAAATTTGAATGGAATGTTACTAAAATTTAATGGGCTACAAAATTGCATATTTTTTTTTTAAATTTTTGTAAAAAATTTTTGTACATCTGTTTAGAAAGTTTTAAATTTTGATCAAATTGTCGCATTTTTTAAGTTTTATACAAAGTTTGAAAAACATGGTTTTTCTTATAAAGTGAGCTGTTTTTTCATAAAAAAATAAAAAACATTAAATAAACAAAAAAAACCAAAATTCGGTAAAATATCACATCCCTATTTATTTTCCCGACACGGCACGCAGATGAAGCATTAATAAATGATGTTATGTTTTTAAGGATATTAAGAAAAAATAAATAAAATAAAAAAAATTCCTTTTAAATTTATAAACTACTTTTGCGACAAAATCTAATATCTAACAGTATATTAAGGCTTTTAAGTGAAAAATTAAAAAAAATTCTCTTTGGAGTTTTGAATTGCTTTCATTTTTGACCTAAAATTAGTATGCAACGCCATTTTTAAAAAGCTTTAAATAAACATTTTTGCTATTCTCTCAATAAGGGATCCATTTTGTTGTCGAAAGTACCAAAAAACACATTTTAAATTATTTTTAAAAAGTTCATTGGGTGCTGTTTTCAGACCAATAAATACAAAAAAAAAAATTGAAAACCCCATATTTTTGAGAATCACTCGAAAGGCCAAAGCAATTTATTTATCCACCGTTAATTATTTTTCCTAAATTTTCTTTATCTCAAGAGCTCTAAAATAATGTTAAATTTATTACGCACGTTTTTGTCGTTTTCGAGATATTCGATTTTTTTTCACAAAAAAAGTTCACTTTCCACACTTTGTGCCGCTAATTTGACTAGGACTTCCATATCGGTTTTGTAGACCTTGATCTTCCCGCAACCACAGTTAACCTTTTTATCGCGCAGGTATGAATAACCTTAGCCTTGTCACAGGTAAATTACATACATACGCCTGTAACTATCCAGCACCTGTACAAAGTGAAGGCGGATCTCCTTTTATAATTCAATTGCAGCGCTAAATAATTGCGCTAATGTCTGTTGGACCGACTACGGCTTCTATCTTCTTTATTGTTTTCATCTATATAAAATAATATCGAGTCTAGACTTCGGGCGTGTTGACCTTTCCCCCCATCGATTTTTGCAGCTTGGAAATCGCGCTTTCCACACAAATCAAAACATCTTTACTAAGTCCACCTGAGATGACCAAATAATGCGTCGTTTGGTATGTCAGAATTGGTAGGAGGTTTAAGATGGGTGCGCTCGAGCCCTGTGTTCAGCCGTAATAATCTCAACAGACGGTTTTTGCTGGGCTTAATACGCGCGGACATATGCAACTTGGTTTTTGTGCTGCATACCTGATGGTTCGTTCAGATTTTGAGAGAGGAACTTGAGCTTGTACTTTCCGTAATATAGCATGCCATGACTTTTAGCTGGTCCGTGGGGTTGTACTTATTGTGGGTTTTTCATTGCGGCTTTTATCAGCCGTAGGAAAACTGGGTGGAGCTTATAACATTGAGTTTGTGAGGACGGTAAACTATCGAGCTAAAATATACAGATACATATATATAAAGCAATATAAATTTGAAAAATATAAAACAATAATACCAAGCGTATTAATTAGCTACAATATTGGGATATTATGACATAGAAACAGCTTCTCAAATAATTTAGGAATCAAAAGACATACCACAGTTACATACAAATGTATATCGAAAACCAGCGTTGCAAAAATATTGCAATAGCTCACACCATTTTCAAATATATTTCTGCATATTTATTTGGCAGCGATACCTATAACTACCTACGTTAACCACCTCTAACAAGGAACTGAAAATAAAATCGAAAAAATATATTGCACGCAACAGCTGAAACAACAATTAAATATGTGCAACAATAAAATAAAATAAAAAATTCAACAGCAACAAAATTAATTTATATTTGGCCAAATTTTAATTAGATTACATAAAAATCAACACGTCCGATTAGTAAAAGGAGCGGTCATAAAGCAGTGAACAAGCATAAAATTGGCAGCGCAATAAAAACAATACAAAAATAGCAGAGACGGGTAAGTTGATGCAACTAATTAATGCAAACAGATATTGATTTTGTGAACCAAAAACACATTTTCTTTATTGCTTATTAATAATTGGGGTATCCGCAACGATGTCGTCACTTTTGTCACTTTTTTTTGTAGCATTGTGAAAATTCATAATATTACTTTTGTGGTACCTTGCAAATCCTTTAATATATTTTTGGCCGTCTAAAGTTTACGGCATACAACAATACGACACTTGCGACACCATTGTGAATACACCAAATATTATTTTTGTAAATATTGCTTTTACTACTTTTGTGAGCATCTAATGTCTATGTATAAGCTACGCTGTTAACCATAGTTATATCCATGGGTTATCAGCCAATGTTAAATGTCACTCTACGCCTACTCGCAGTTGCTGTCGTTGACTGTGCTGCTCGCATAATTACAAAATTGAGTTCAAACACAACAGTTCAACATTATTAATTAATTTTCAGGTTTTCTTCCAATCACTGGTCTATTAGACAAGCTACACATTAATAATGCCATATTGATTATATCATCTTGCTATGTGGGTGCATAAGTTCATGGAAGTTCGTTGCTTAAGTCTTTTATTTGAGAGAGTGGAAGTGGCTGTTTTGTAGAAGATATATCTACATACAAACATACTATTTATTAAATGAAATAAATACTTACAATAAAATCAACAATATGCTTAGACTTTTTTTTAACAATTTTTCGATTGTAAATATTTGGAATTTTAAGTAAATATTAGAGAAAAAATTTAGTAAACTGTTAAAAAATTAAAACTAGCCTTTCAAAACAACTCCACACAAATATTTTAATACTATTCTCCATTTTTGCCTCAACGTATAAATTAAAATGGACAACGATTCGTTCGACTAATTACCTGAAACTGTTTACCCAGTAGCTTATAGCCATTAACTAAGAAGCTTAAGACGCATAAGAATAAATGTACAATGTATTTACGCTTCAAAATATTTGCGCTTAATGAATGTACATTAGGGTGGAGCGAAAAAAATTTCCATGATCACTTATATACTTACGGTCGCTCCAATAGGCTTAAAGTTTCGAAAAAATCTCTAAATTATGGTTGTTTTATACTTTTTTGTAAAAGATTTTCTAGATGGAGTTTGAGTATGAAGTTTTGTAGTGATTTTTTTAATATAATAAAGTGCAAGTTTCAAGTTGCGAAAAAATAGGGAGGAACGAAAAAAAAAATAATTTTCCATTTCGTAATTGTAATCGTGCGGAAAAGTTGCGTAACATGATTCGCACATTGAACCGTTTTCCGATCGAATAATATTTACGGTTGTCCCAAGAGCCTTAATGCTTCGAAAAAGGCTTTCAAATTATGGTTATTTCAAACTAACTTTTTTTTTTAAATAAAAAGCAAGTTTCAGGTTGGTAAAAAATTGCGTTGATATTTGGTCTTTTTTTTGCTGACAGTGTCCTCCATATACAAAAAAAAATTGTCGAACATACTTTATGTAAGAAAACTTTCAGCAAAAAAATAAAAAAAATACAAAAATCAACGCGACCTTTTAGCAATTTGAAACTTGCACTTCAATTGTTAAAATAAAAAAAAGATTATAGAAGAACCATAAATTGAAATATTTTTCGAAACTTTAAGACCCTTTAACGATCTTACACGGTTGAATATGAATATGATTTTTTCACTCCACCCCAATGTACATATATGTATATGCATATTTATGTACATATGTAACCAAACTAGTATAAGACGACTGAATACTCTTCAGAATAAAAAAATGAACGATGATTCAACCATCTGTTAAATTAATAAATGTGCTACTCCATTCACTTCGTCACCTACGTGTGCTTACATAAGATTTATGTATACATACATATATATTGCAAGCATGTATGCACGTATACTTGTGCGTAACATATTTCGCATACGCAATAAAATATTCTCAGCAAAAATCAGTTGTCATGCCTCTAGATATTTAATTATTCAACATTGTTCTTATGTGTGGGTTATTTAAATGACTGTTGACGAGCAAAAGATGACTTCATGAATTGAAGATCAGCTCTGAAGATAAATAATGTGCGCGTCGAAAGTCAAATGTGTGTATGCGTATACGTATATTTGCTCCTATTAGGCTGCATATTTACCCTGTAGGGAAATATTTACTCTGAGTCTCTATCGAACTGATGCACGGTTGGTGAGTTTCTGGCAGCAGCAATACAGTCTGATTTTTTACAAAATTATATATTTTCTTATTTTTTTTGTTTACCAAAAAGTGTACTAAAATATGTTTTAGTTATAGATTTAATTATTCAAACATATTAAAAATACACATTGCTGATATAATTAATAATTAAACCAATTTTTCGAGTATTTTGGGGAACGATTTTATAATGCTGAAACATAGCTCATTGAGTGGTCGGTCACCGATACGTTGAGAGTAATTGTAAAGCGAACGAGTTACGAGGACCATCCACATTCCTTTTTGGGAAAGCAAATTACAGACTTACCAAGGGCAGCTTTTCTCTAATTTTTTGAATTTCAATTAGGGTATTCAAAAGACGTGTTAACCGTCGTAAAATCTTAAACCTCACATTTTGTTGTGTAAAATAACAATTAACATAGTTTTAGCGAGTGCTAATTACATATTTATTTTATCAGTTTATAAATATTTCGGTGTAGTTAGAAATCCTCTAAAATCATTTTAATCATTATTTTACATACAAAAAAGTTAAGCTTAAGATTGAGATTAACGCGTCTTGTGAATCTCCTAAATATTTCAGCAATTTCCTATTGGCCATTTGTGAATGTTCGATTTTTTCATATATGTATGTGTGTTTGTACGTGCGAAAAAAAACTCGCAAAAAACTGGATTTCTGAAGACCCAACTCGCCGTCGACAAACGTTGCTTACTCGGCGGTTGTCGCAGAAGGCGTAAAAAGTCAGTTTGCCGATTCACAGAAAAAAAAAAATGACGTCAAACCTGTGAGCAAATGAAGAAAAAGTTTGTATGCATGAGCTGATGTGCATTTGAACTAATAAATTTGCTGATTAGTTTTTGGTTAGTGTATTACACACACACATGCATACACATATACACATATAAACCTTACGCTTATTTAAGTTATGAAGAAATGCTTTTTAATTTCTCAACCAGCACCAAATGTGAAAAATGAAATATTACAGCATTTTTTTTTTTTGGCAAACAACATTACTACACATTCGATGTTTAACCCGCTGAAATTATTTCATTTAATTTATTGACTCGATTTTGATTGCATTTTGTTGCCTTACTTGCTGCCGTCACGCCCATGCCGAGAAATTGCCTAAAACGGCAGTTACTTGGCTTCTTTCATATAAGCATTAACCTGTTTTTCAAGGTTATAGCAACAAAAAAAAAAAAAAACCAACAACAACAAAAGTTTGCTTTTTTCAATTGCTTTACTTGACTGTTGCTAGCAAATTGGCGATTGTGCAAAATACAGATACGAATTCGATGGTGAATACGAAAAGCGATGGGGATGCCGGCTTCATTGCATACAATTGTCTTTTGAGCAGCAGAAAAAAAGCTAAGAGCAAAAAATTAAAAATATTTAAGTAAAAAGAGCAATATAAGTAAAATGTACCACAGCGATGAATGTGGTACGCCAGCATTAAGATGCTGTAAGCCAGCAACTGCAATGCTTAAAAGTTAACGCGTGAAAGTTATTGCATCATCATCATCATCCACATTATAACCATCGCCAATCGCGCTGTGACATTTTTATATTGACACCTAGCGGCCTTGAAATTCAAAAGTGATGATGTGAATGTGCATGTGCACATATGCTTGTACATACCTACATATGTAAGTATGAGTGCAAGTGAGTGCATATGAATTTCATGTAAAATGACACCAAGTAATTAAACACGCTGCTTAGAGTGGATTAAGTGAGGTAGCATTATTTGTCATATTTTCCAATGGAAGCTAATTTCCTAAGAAAGAGTGAGCGTTGTCATGGAAAAAAGCACAAAAGAAAACCGAGAAAAATCTCCGCTGTCAACGCACCCCAATCCTAGTAATCATAAAATTTTCCGTCTCGGTAGTTATGCATTTCAAATGCATTTCAAATGCAATAAAAGGACGCGCGCGCGCCAGCCATCGCCTTGTCGGTCTTCTTTGTCAACTACGCTTGACTGCTGACATGCTGCTGACAGTGGTTTTTGGTTTGGTCTTTTATGTTCCAGCAACACCTTTTTCCTATGGTTCACTTTTAGTCCGTATTTTTTTATTTATTTTTTGTTTAATGCTTATGTTCGCTATCATAGCTGAGAATCGTCATTCGGTAGCCTCACAGTAAATGCAATGTAGGTATGTACATACGTGCTCTATGCGATCGTTCATCGCACCCGGTCACACTACATCATTTTAATGTGGGGGCTACTTCTACTTGATGTTCGTTCAAGGTAGATGAAATGCGGAAGTGTTTTTCATGGCGAAATATTGAAAAGTACTTTTTTTGTAAATATGTCTACTGTGGTGATCGACCTATTGGCAATGAGCCAATATTTAGGCTTTCTAAGTCTCCTGACCAACCTGCCTCTTTTGCAGTTATTTTATTATAAAACAAAATTTATTCGACAAGTTCTCATATTTATGAAAATGCTTTTATGGAAAAGCCAAAATAATTTAAATAAGTAAATATTATACATCTTTATGTAAGACTTCTTCCACGACTTCTGAATCCAGGGGAATTTGAACCACGTGCAAATTGGTTTGCTAACTTTTCATTGTAAAATTAAGGGCAACTATTTATTTATTTTATTCTACATAAATATGTATGTATATATATTAGGCAGTAGCGCAAAAAAATGTTCGCCATACACCCCTGAGTCTAAAGTATTTTGGCATGGCAAATGCCAAACGTAGGGGCCGCCTTTTTTAAACTTTTCGTCATATCTTCGGCATCTACCGTCTGATCTTAAAATATGATATATTGATGTTCTTATCACGAGGAGAAAATTTTTTGTTCAAAGT